AACAGTTGAGAGCACCTCACCCTCACATGGCTCTTCATAACCTATCTCCACCATTTAAAACAACTCATTTGATTTTAGAAAAAATTTGATCAACATCCGCCAATAATCACAGCAACCTTCAAATCTCAAGATAGCAAGTTGAACAAAATTATCAACTTATCTCTCTCCTGTCATTCTTGGTGCCCCAAGATTGCTATGATACCAATTGTTAATTTAGTAAAATTTTTTTAGAGAAAATAAATTTGTATTATTAAAGAAGGATGCTAAATTATATCGTACATTTTCTACCAATGACAATATAGGTATATGGTAATTTAGATCATTTTCAACATTCATGCATCCAAAAATTATACTCCTAATTAGACATGATTCGTACTTAATTAATTAAATACGAACTAATAAACCTCCATGTATATGAATGCATACATTTCCGTACCTATAAGTAATCCTTCATCTTTAGGTAGGGAATAAGTCTCATGTTTTTTGGTTTTTACTTTTAATATTTTTAATCCTTTTATTAATTTTATTAATTGTCATGGTTGACGGTCAATTTTTATTTTTATTTTTATTTTTTGGACCCACGAAACATAAACATATGTTAAATTTTTAATATTAATATTTTTAATCTTTCTTTCTTTTTTTTCTTTTTTTTTTTAGTAATTATTAAACTATAAAATTATTATAAAAACCATTTATTATAAGTGAATTATTTTTGCTTGATTATTTAATTTTAAAATATAGGAATTACAATTAATCACTATTTTACTTATATTAGTGTATACATACTGAAACCAGGGTGAGCCAATCAGTTGTACGGCAACTAGACAACGAAAGAGAGGTGCATCTTCCACCAAAAGGACATATAGAACCCGCAGCTCAAGTCGGAAATGAAGAGGTTGATATATTTATGGGTTTTTGTTATATTAATATTCCCTATATTTTGAGTTTCGATTTTCTACGAATTTCGGGAGGCTTTGAATACTCATGTTTGATTGTTGTATCATTTTAAGATCAAAGGAAATAAATATCTGAAAAGAACTAAAAAAACACTGCTCCCATATATTGTTCCATTTGCTCTCACGCTATCGACCAGTTCAACGACCGCCACACCTCTAAGCAATCCCTCAACTCAACTCAACTCTCTGCCATCAGGTAACAAGTTTGGGAATCTAAATGTAAGTAAATTGTCCGATTCATAGTTGAGATGCTAAGAAATGGAGTAAATGATTAGTAGCATCCTACCCTCTAATCTTGGATAATCTTGGATTAGGTATTTTAGAAGAAAGATAACTAAATATTTTAGGAAAAATAATATATTTAGATATCTTAAGAATAGGTTGCTCATGCTCCCGTATAAATATCCCTCCACCCTATGTAGGTTATCATCCCAAGAAATAAAAAAATACATAGTGCACTAGTATTCTATAGCGTGTCTTGTAATCTCTTCTTGATTGGTGTTAATAAATAGTGTGAGTGTTTCCCACATAGAGTTGTGTTCAACAGCCTGGTATCAGAGCGAGGTAGGTGTAGGTTGTCTAATCTCTTGAAATTATTAGTATGCTCTGTGGTTGCAGCTCTATCTGATCTTCCACATCAAAAACGATTCTTAAGATTACTAGTGAGTGAGTTTTTTTGTATCGTGAATAGTGTGTGACTCTGCAAACCTTGTGTCGAAAAGGCTTGTTTGGTATTACTGAGCTATTGTCAACACGATGGGTGACTTCCAAATCGTAGGACGAATCAAGAAACTCAACAACAACTACAACACGTGGGCAACATGCATGATGTCCTATTTACAAGGACAGGACCATTGGGAGGTCGTTGGCAGGTGTGAAACTATGCCACTAGAGGAGGATTCTAATGGCGCCTTGCACAAATGGAGAATCAAAGCAAGGAAAGCAATGTTTGCCTTGAATACCACAATCGGAGAGGAGATGTTGGAGCATATTTGGGATGACCAGACATCAAAAGAAGCATGGGACACATTCGTGATGCTATTCTCAAAGAAGAACGATACAAGGCTACAACTTCTGGAGAACAAGTTGTTGTCAATTTCACAACATGACATGACGATTGCTTAGTACTTTCACAAGGTCAAGTCGATCTACAGGTAGATTACTGAACTAGACCCGAAGTCTGCCATTAGAGAATCTTGAATGAAGAGAATCATTATCCACGGATTGCGATCAGAATATAGAAGCTTCGTTATTACTGTACAAGGATGGCCCGCTCAACCATCACTTATAGAGTTTAAGAATTTGTTAGTCAGCCAAGAAGATTTGGCTAAACAAATGGGAGACATCACATTGAAGGAAGAAGAAGCATTATACACAAGTGAAAGTTGAAGCAGCAAGAAATCGTCTACAAAACGTGGATACAAAAATGGTGACAAAGAAAGAAGCCATCAAGGAACTACACAACTTGAGAGAGCTTAGAATAACGACAACAAGAGTTCTCAAGGAAAGAAATTTGGAGGTATTTGCTACAATTGTGGGAAAAAGAGCCACATGTCTAGAAATTGTTGGTCCAAGAAAAAGTCTGTTGAAAGCAATGTGACAACATCCAAAAAGGAGATGGAGGATGAATGGGATGCAAAGGTACTATGTCTCATAGCAGAAGATGAGCTAGCAACTCATGGCAATGATGGGAGAGCATATCGATTATGACGATGACTGGATCATTGATGTTGGTGAGATAGGAGTGACTCAACCAAGTGAACCTGGTGAAAAGGCAATTGCACCTCAACAATTTAGATAGTCAGAAATAATCCAAAAGTCAAATCTAGAGTATGTCAACACAACTCTTGTATAAAACAAAGTTCATGAGCCAGAGACATGTGAAAAAGCATCACAAAACTTCGGTTGGCAGAAAGGGATGGAAGAAGAAATTATAGCCCTAGATCAAAATCAAACTTGGGAGCTAGTACCAAGACTAGAAGATATCAAATCCATCTCTTGCAAGTGGGCTTACGAAATAGTGTATCTCTCGGATGGATCAATCAAAAGATAGAAGACTCAATATGTAGCTCGATGGTTCTCTCAAGAATATGGACTAGACTATGGTGAAATGTTTAGTCCAGTGGCGAAGATCACTATTGTACAGGTTCCTCCAGTACTTGTGGTAAATAAAGATTTGAAATCATGGCAGATGGATATGAAGAATGCTTTCTTGAACGGAGAGTTAAATAGAGAGTTCTACATGGACTAATCAAAGAAATTCGAAAATGAAGTTGGAGTCATTAGTCAGTATATGCAAAGTCCGAAGAAGCCTCATTTGGATGTAGCTCGACGGGCCTTGAGATATGTCAAAAGTACAATCAATTATGATCGTTTGTATAAAAGAAGCAAAGACTACAAGCTAGTTAGATACCATGATGCTGACTATGCAGGATATCACGATACCCGAAGATCAAGCATCAGGTATGTGTTCAAGCTCGATTTGAGAACAACTTCTTGGTGTAGCAAAATATAACCTTTAGTATCATTGTCAACTAAAGAAGCAGAGTACAGAGCAGTAGCTGGAACAACTCAGGAAAGTACATGGCTGAAACTCTTGATGAAAGATTGGCACCAGAAAATTGACTATCTAATACCACTTCATTGCGACAACCAATATGCGATTCTTATAACAAAAAATCTGGTGTTTCATGCTAGAACAAAACATGTGGAGGTGCACTATCATTCCATTAAAGAGAAAGTTCAGAATGAAGAAATCGAGATGAAGCAGATCAAGATAGAAGACCAAGTGACATAATTGTTTACAAAAATGCTAACATGAGAGCTTTCGTTGTCAACTCAACATGGTGCAGCGAATGAGGACTATTGTGGAGGGAGAGTGTTAAAATATCATCACTAGCCCAATAGAGTTAAGTCCAATAATTATGAGCTCATTGTAAATTTATTTTCATAAAATGATTTAGATATTTTAGAATAAAGATGACCATATATAAGGAAAAGATTGGATATTATAGGAAAAAGATTCAAATATTTTAGGAATAGACTTTGGAGGCTCTAGTATAAATACTCCCACTCTACCTAGGTTATCATCCCAAGAAATAAGAAACAACATTAGTATTTTAGAGAGTGCCTTGTAATTTCTTCTCGATTGGTTATTAATAAAGAGTGCGAGGGTTTCCCACAGAAAGTTGTGTTCAACATACCCCAATGAACGCTCCAATTCAATAGACTCTAGCCCACAATGAGAGTAAGAAGATCCTATGTTGGACGGTGAATATGACGATCGAGTATGGAAGAGGGGATTGTATGAAGTATTTGTTGAGAGTCAACGTTTCATTCACACGGCGGAATTATCCCCACTATAAAGCTTTTCTATAACTATGACTCAAACACAAAGTTAAGGTTTGTAGAAAGAAAATCAGATCGGAGAAAAAGAGCTGTAGAGATAATTAATTTTTTATCGAAGAGAAAGTGTGAGATGCTCATTTGACATATTTGAATGTAATGAAGTCCATAGTTCATACCGGCACCTACAAGCTCAATGTAACACCCTATTTAACAGAAATAAAATTAACATAGGGCAAGGAATAAGAATTTAGGATTTAACAAATGGAAAAGGTGAAAATAATAATAAATATATTCATTAAAAATTGGAAAATTACTCTAAAAATTCAGCCATGAGAGAAACAGCCCTAAAGGTTAGAAATAGAAAAACAACCTTGACACTTGGAAAATTATCATCTCTGAAGATAACAAATTTCAAGAAATTTGACGCCTAAATATCTTGAAATTTGACGCCTATATATGTTAATTTTGTAAGAATGGTGTAAAACGAGGTACATATCTCCTAGCTGGATGAGAGAGTCCAAAAATTATATTTGGTTACAAAATGTATAGAACTGAGAATTAAGTATGAAAAATGATACAATTTTGGAAGTTTGGAGTAGAGTTGTTTTCTCCTAAAAATTCAATCTTTATAGAATTCTTACTTCCCGAATTATAAATAAATAAATAACTGTAAAGATTTGTATAATTGGGGAACTAAGAATTGTGGAAATCAATGGCTGTCGGTAGAATTCCCATCCTTACATAATTGAAACAGGCCTCACGATTCAATTCCCATCCTTACATAATTGAAACAGGCCTCACGATTCAAAATCCAAATTGGCACTCAGAGCTTCGACACGCACTGCTGATCCCAGAGAAAATGGGGACGCCCATCATAGCTGCTCAACCTTTACTCTGCAACAACTCTTTTCTACTGATTAAACCTTATGCTTCCTCCTTCCCTTTCCAATTCTGCACACCACAACAACCAATGCTTTCTCGCTCAATCTACACAAAAACCGCCTTACAACCCTTGCCCCGTCGCCGGAATTACTCTCCCATCTGCCCTGCCGCTCGCCGGAAGCCAACATTGGTCGATTCTCCGGCCTTTTCCGACGAGGGTAATTCCGATGTCCGACGGGTTCTTCAAATTCTGCTATGGGCTGCTGAGGGGGTTTACGTTTTGTGGTTATTTCTCCTTCCTTATGCCCCGGTTTGTTTTAATCGCTATTGCATTTAGTTTAGCTTAATTCTATGTCGGGAATTAGGGTTTTACTTGATGAAGTAGATAACAGTAGATGTGGATCAGAAAGTTCATTGCTCTTGGTTTTTAACAATTACAGGGAGATCCTGTATGGGCGATCAGTTCTGAAACAGTGAATTCTCTTGTGGGTCTTTCTCTTAACTTCTTTTTTATATTGCCTGCTATGAACTCTGGTACGCTTCGTTTCTTCAATCAATTCAAAAAAGTATATCTGATGTTTTGTGAAATTAATTTTGATTCCTTCATGATTTTTGGCATGGCAGTCGGCATCCGTCTGATTGATGCTCCTGTTCTTCACCCAGTAAGAATTACTTTCAAATGGTTGACCTCAATATTTCATCGTTCTTCACTCAATGACACCATTGTCATGATGGAGTTTTCTTTCTCATCAGATGTCTGAGGGACTGTTCAATTTTGTCATTGCATGGACGCTCATGTTTGCTCCACTGCTGTTCACCGACCGAAGGAGGGACCGGTACACTGGTTCATTGGACCTATTGTGGGGCTTTCAGATGTTCCTTACCAACAGTAAGCTTTATTTCTTGCTACTTTCTTTGATTAATCAACTTCAGTGAATATATATATCATCCCTTAACAACTGTTCTTCATTCTGTCTTTGATTTCTCCATATAGTTTAGGGGTGGGTCAGATAATTGTGTTAACAAAATTTTCATGTCATTCACCAGCCTTTTTGATACCTTATATGGCCATCCGGCTTAATGAGGGTAGCAAAGACTCTGCCCCGCGACCGCAGTCGAAACTGGGCTCTTTGATGACGACTAGAGCGCCTGTTGTTGGCCTGATCGGTGGTGCAGCATGCATCATATCAATAATCTGGTCTTTCGTTGGTCGAGCAGAGGGTAATTTTGGAGGTATAGCAGAGAGATGGGAGTTCTTGATCCAATATCTATCTTCAGAGAGGTTAGCATACGCATTTATTTGGGATATTTGCCTTTACACTGTGTTCCAGCCTTGGTTGATTGGAGAAAATCTTCAAAATATGAAAGAGAGCAAAGTTGGAATTGTAAGCTCTCTTAGATTTGTCCCTGTTGTTGGCTTAATTGCGTATCTTCTTTTTGTGAAACTTGATGAGGAATTATAACATCACCTTGGTATGTAAATCATATAAAAACTAAAAATATATGATGAATTTGATTCTTTGCAATACTTATTGCAACTTGTTGATGAATAACATTTGCCCAATTCACTTACAACACTCTTGATTCATCTACCCTTACATATGTCATGAGCCAAACCTTTGAATTCTCTCTCAACACTACTTGCAACCACAAACTCCTTTATCCCTCAACATTTCTCCATATCATATCATTTTTCTTAACCTCTCATATCAGCTTTCTTCTTACTTTCTGGAATATCCAATTAAGTTATTTTTGCTCTGTTCACTTCTTTCCATTTTTGCCTCTCTTACTCTCCCTCTCTTTCTTAATTTGGGAGGTTTTGTTATATATGGCTTCCTTTCTTAAATTTAGGGCTGAAAAATGGATTAGTACTCTAGCTATGCACCCTCTTATTGGGCCTTCCAACATCTACATACCTTGCTATTTTAATTCAAATTCCTCACTTGTCATGCCCAAAAAATTTGCTCATGGATTTACTACTTTGCACAATGAATAGATTAGGTATACAAAGTTATTTCATACTAAATAATTATTATAATTGAGAGAACTAATGAGAGAAAGTCAAGAATGTATGCAAGATTATTGGCTAAATGGCCGGGTATAACTCTATTTTTGGAGAGTTATCATTCCCTCGGACTTAGAAGGATTGCTCATGCTTAACTAATTGTTCTCTCCTCTCTTCATTTTTTCTCTCATTTTCATTTTTCTCTCATTTTCATTTTTCTCTCATTTTCACTTGCTATCACTTGGGGTTTTTGTTTTGGAGTATTCATCGAATCATGATTCAACTCACATCCTTATATTCTTCCCCTTAACTCAGTGTTCCCGGTTCTATGAGTCCCTCCAATTTTAATGCAAATCAACACTCATTCCCCTTTGTCTCAACTCTCTTGCTAGCATCATATAATCTTCGGGATGATTAGATAGGCTAACACTCATTCCCCTTTGACTCAACTCTCTTGCTAGCATCATATAGTCTTCCGTTTGACCACAAATCTTCCATGGATGATTAGATAGGCTAACACTCATTCCCCCTCAACTCTCTTGCTAGCATCATATAGTCTTTAGTTTGACCACATTTGTTATACAATTCACGATAGCTTTTCTTAGTCTCCCATTGTCTTCGATTCAAACACCTTTATTGGTTATGCAAATTGCTTGACAATCGGAGAATTGTTTATTTATTTATATATTTATTTTCTTTAGTTTCGAGAGTTCAAACTCTAGGTTGAAGAGGAGTGCTCCCGACCTTAGAGTTATATTTTCATGTATTTCATTTTATTTTATTTCATAAAATGGTGGGGTGGTAGAGTTGATTTTATACCACAAACTTAAACTTGTAATTGTCCTCAATGCGCATTGTTGTAGATTCGGATTCGGAATTATTATTGGAATTTGTTTGGGAAAATGGTTTAAGGTTGGGCGGTGAACTAGGTTGGAATTTCTCTTGATTCGGATGAATACCTTTATTTCTCGATTGTTGTTTTATTTATTATAAGGAAGCATTTACAGTGGATGCTATGACCATGACTCCGTAGCAAAAGCTACTACATATATGGGTCAGGTGCCCAACTTAAAAACATAAGTAGCTTAGATAAAGATATTATGAAGAGATGCATGGACAAAATGATGATGGACAAAATGATGATGACTCCATACGTAGACAAACAAAATAATTGAGTAGTGCATGGGTGTAGATGATTCTTAGTAGTTCAATCAAAATTTCAGTAGACTGGTAATGGTGACCATCAACGGTTGTGGGAGGGTAGAGGTGAGTTTTGGAAATGTCTTCATGCCCTGATGTCCTTCAGCCCCTCAACATGCTGCTGTGATGTCCTTTTATTTAGACTTTATTATTTTGGATTATGAATTTTGGATTATGAATTTTGGATTATGAATTTTGGATTATGAATTTTGGATTATGAATTTTGGATTATGAATTTTGGATTATGAATTTTGGATTATGAATTTTGGATTATGAATTTTGGATTATGAAACGGAATGTGACATCCCGATTATCTTGGATAGATTATTGTTGAAAGCTAGGGTAATATGTTGGTGGAATAATTCTAAGAATCTTCAAAGTTTCATGTAGCACCAAACTTGCAACAACAAATGAACCAAACAAACCTAACTAGTACTACTAATAGAAGTGAAGTAGAATCCAAGTCGATTATAATATTTATATAACTACACAATATTTTTAATCATTCCTTTCTATATTAAATACCAAAATTAGGATTCCTAAACTTTCAACATACACAACTTAGACTTATAATACTTATTCACAACTACACTCATCATACTTATCTTTCAAGTGAAAAAAATAGCTTAAAACCGCCCGCATAACTTTAGTAAACATGTAATTTAGCCTAGATAAATACACCCTCTCTTGCAATACATGAGGACTGACAATGATGTGTCGTATCGTATCAACCTTACTTTTACTATGATAGATGAAAGACTATTTGTGTCCCATTTCTTGAAAGAACGAAGATCAAAAAGGAAAATAATGAAACGACATGGGAATCGAGTGAAACCAAAAGTTGAATTAGATTACCTAATTTTTACAAAAAGTACAATATTGGACCATTCCATTCTTTAAAGACAACTTGTCATAAGCTCTTATGGATCAGTAATGGCCAAACTAGTTCAATTTTAATTCAAGTTAATGTCACATTTGAGCCATTTTTTACAAGTGAGCTCCAATGTTGGAGAGCTCTGAGCTCTCTCAGTTAACGAACGAAGATACAAACCATACTAAGCATACCATAACTAAGCATACAGAAAATTATATAGAATAAGAGAAGGAGAAAACACAGTTGAGTTGTTTGGCAACACAACAAAGTGCAAACCAATTGGGTGTAAAAAGGTTTCAACTTCCAAGCTAACAACACCTTCATATTTTCCATCAATTTATGGGATAAAACACAATAAAAACACAGAAATGGATTTCTTAACAACACTCTTCCAACTTCCATGGGGTCGAGTGTCGATATCAGTCTCTTGGTCGTGCTAACCACAGAGAACTGAGAGCTCGAAGACGTGAAATGTAATCACTGATGACGAGAAGTGCTCGTGCAGCTTGACGAGTAGTTAGTATTCGATGCATCTGTTGTAGCGTTTGTTGTCTTAGAAGATCAGCCTAAAAAACAAAGACACGAAAGATTTCTTGTTTGTCACGTGGTTTTGACGAGCAAAAACTCGAATCGAAAGGTTCGACGTGTTTACCTGATGGAGAAAGTTCTCTAGCGTTGTTAGTTTGCTCATTGCTATAGCCATTTGGCCCATGTAATCGGCAACATTACCGGAACAGGCAGGTCCTAAAGAAGCAGAGGAAAGAGTTTCTACAAGAGATTGTTGCAAAGCTTCAATCCCTTGTGACAATGCATCTTCAGCTTGTTGTGAAGATTGCTGCAAATTGCATATGCCCATCAACTGCTGATCCGTTAAAGGCTCCAAATGGTTCCCAACTATCTGAACAATTGTTGTTTCAAATCAAGGGCTCCGAATTACGTTAAACTTATACACAACTCAACTCAAACAAAAGTTAACGTATATCTCGAGCTAATGAAAACATTTTACCTTCAGAAGTTCGGACGAACGGAATCCTCCTAGCCACATGAAACACCTCTCGGCTGGAGTCTTCCACATGCCCGAAAGAATGTGAAATACGTCAGCCTTGGCGCCAACGCTTTTCAGCCTGAAGAGTTCATCATAATGTGCCATCACCCCATCGACAAGAAATCGCAATTCATCGTCGCTCAACTGAGAATTTGCCGATGCTCTCAAATCATTGATCAGACGTTGATGCTCGTCGAGCCACCGTGCATAGTCGAGATCAAACGCCAAGGCACCTAGGGACAGTATTATGAAGCAACACATTCAAATCATCCAAGAGTTCATTTTATAAATATGTGTAACCATGAATGAATTCATGTTTGCTTACCATTTCCTGGCATCGATAAACAATGGTTGGCTGTCCCAGAAGCCACAAAAATGCCCTGATATCAACCAAAAACACATTAAAGAAAATCAACAATGAAACCCAGAAAGTGTCGGTCGGTGGAACACCTGTTGGCGTGCTCGATGAAGATCCTGTTCTAGCTGTGAAAGCCTCTGTCGACTGTTTTCCAGCTGCTGGACATATGCCTATCCAAAACCAAAACCTATAAATGTTCCAAATATGTTTCCTTCATCAACATAACATGTAAAAATCCCAACTTTAACATCATGGCAAAGATCATGACGGCGGCCCCTCTAATCCCAAGTTTACCTTCTTCCTCAGCCGACTCTTCTTCGCTGCTTCTCGATTCTGAGCAAGCCTACGAAGAGTCTGCTATGAAGATTCATATGTTCTTAAGCAATAAATTATGAAAATGCAAAACAGAGAAGAGACAGAGCTTAAGAAATGACCTTCTGGTCAGCAGATTTCGGTTTAGATTGATCCATGGAATCCACGGCCACAAGAACTCCATGAGCAGCTCCCGGAAACTAAGAAAAAAAACAGACACAAAAACCATTTAGCTCACAAGAAATTTAAAAATATAATAATCTGAAACCCTGTAACTCTGTTTCTGTTCTTTCTTCTTGTAATTTAAGCACCTGGTTTCTTTCATCATTGTCGATGTCTGTAGAAGTGTCAGTCTGCTGGCTATTATCAGCCATAGCTGACTCACCCCAGTTCTCAAAGCTTCCGTTTCCCAACGATGACGCAGCCGCCACCGTCTGCGGCGGAGCTAGCCTCTTCAACCGCATCAATTGCTGTCCTGTGTCTAAATACCCTGTTTCTAATGAACCCACATCCGTGTTCTACAAAACCATTCAACAACAACCCACAAACCCATTAAAACGCACAAATTTCATACACTAATAGAACACGACAAGAACAGAGAGATTGATGAAATACCGCGTAGGGTAGGTGGTGGATTGGAAAAGCTGCGTCGTGGATCAATTTTAAACTGAAAACTGAGCCTAAAAGTATTATTTTAAAAATCAGAAGGTAGTTAAAGAAGATGAAATGTTGAGAGAGAGAGAGAGAAAAAGAATACTTGGGCTTAAATCAACAGAATTATGGGGACGAAAATCAGCGGATTGTTGAAGCTCCTCAATATCCGGAAGAAACCGCGTATGGTGACCACTGTCGTCTCCTCCCCTGTTTTAATAACAAAAAACAGAGAGCCGCCATGGAAGTAAATAACACGAAGAAAAACAAAAAATAAAAGAAACCCATTAAAGAGGGAGATGAACAATGGTGGCATACCGGAGAAGGATGGAAGAAGAAGAAGAAGAATGGGGATAGAGGTGATCTGGGTTATGAAAGCTCTGCATTTTGACTACAAAACAAATAAGAACACCCCGACCACTTTATTTGTCTTTCTCAGGAAACAAACAAGAAAATAAGAAAGCAATTTGTGGGAAGAGAAGAAGAAGAAGAAGAAGAAAGAAAAGCAATCGAAGTTGAGTGGAAGAAAATCTTTTGTTGCATCTTTTTAACAACAGGATTGCGTATCACTCTCTCTCCCTCTGCCTTCCATTAAACAAATTGTTTTTTGTTTGAAGAATCAGAGTTTTCATTATTGCTGTCTGACTTGGGATTTTAGTTTCCCAATACTCTTCCAGAGATCAAACAGATTTCACTCTCCTTCTTCTCCCTCTACGTAACCCCTTTGTTTGTATCTCCCATTTTCTATTAACTATTCTTTTCTTGGTTGAAGATGAATATGAAATTGCAGAGAAAGCGAGGGATTTCAGATTACAAAATCTGTTTACTTTTTTCTATCTTCTTTCTGTGAAAAGTTGTATTGTGATATTGATTGGATTGGTGTACTTCGATTTTGTCCTATGCTTAGCTCAATCAATGATGATAATCTACTAAAAACTAAAACTTTGTTTCTTCCGTCCTTCGCATTATCAATTTACTTCAAAAATATTGTTTATACTCTCGGTGTTGTTATACTCGTGTGACATTCTATATAGATTCGAGAAGAGAACGAAACACTTTTTATAAGAGTATGGAAATCTTTCCGTAGCAAACCTGTCTTAAAACCTTGAGGGGAAGCCCGAAAGGGGGAGCCCAAATAGACAGTATCTGCTAGCGGTGGGTTTGAGCCGTTACAAATGGTATCAGAGCCAGACATCGGTGGTAGACATGAGGCGGTGTGTCAGCAAAGACGTTAGGCCTCGAAGGGGGTGGATTTAGTGGGGTCTCACATCGATTAGGCCTGAAAGGGTGGATTGTAATATCCCACATTGGTTGGAGAGGTAGTAGACATGAGGAGGCAGTGTGTCAGTAAGAACGCTGGCCCCAAAAGGGATGGATTTGATGGGGTCTCACATCGATTGGAGAAAGAAATAAGTAGGATACTGAGCCCAGAAGGGGTGGATTGGGGGAGAAAAACGAAACATTTTTTTACAATAGTGTAATATCTCACATTGGTTGGGGGAGGAGAACGAAACAAAATAAACAAAATTTGTTCGTATAGCTTCTAAGCAGAGTACATGTATAATCGTGTCGGTAAAAGACCAACAAAGGTAGAAATAATGTACACTTATTTTCAATTTAGATACACTTTTTATGTAAGCCCAAATGAATTAAATGCTCCCTCTTATAATCTATAAATAGGGCACTCTAAAATGAACATGAATGTGGTCGATAATGATGAAATAAAATAGAATTTTATTATGAAATAAATGTGAAATAATTCTGTTTATATAGAAAAAAAAAAACATGGAATGAGAAATAAATAGGCATTTATGAAGCAATGTAGAGTCGATAAGTAACAATAATAGAGGGTTGAAAGAGAATTGACATGAAAGTGAATATTAAATATACCAAATAAGAGAGGCATGTAAATAAGCAATTATGAACCAGATTTCAATAAATGCTCAAGATTTGCTTTGACATTTTGTTGTTTAGAAGACAAAGATTTGAATGCTTACACCAACCTACTTCAATCGTATACCACCATTATCAAACAAATAATTCTCACAATCTGATTTTTAAGGTTTCGAATCATAGATCACGATGTGGACTGATAAACCAATGAACGAGAAATACGATAAATTTTGTGCGAACTTAGAAATATACAACGCGACCTTTGAAAGATGAAAATAATACGTTTACATATCAAAAGTTTATTATAACATGAAGACCATGGAACAAGATGCAAAAAGTAGACCACCCTTAAGTACATAAGGATTCACGCCTCAAAACGACCCTCCTCTATGACCATGAAACTTCTGAATACTTCTCCACTTCGACTAGCAATCAATAGCCACCTCAAAAGGAAAGGCTAAATATTTGGTGAGTATAATCATACCCAATAAACAACCTACTTGAAGGCTCTAATTGAATCCTTGATTTAATTTGTTACCATAGGCTTGCTTCTAAGCTCTAGGAAGTTCGAGCTTAAGTTCTATAGGTATTTGAGCTTCTAGGAGGCTCCAAAATTCCAAATGGTTCTCATGCATGTCACAAATCTAAGGGAGTCTAGAAATCGTTCTCATACTTATATCAAACCCAATTGTGGTCTAAAAGTCATTCTCTTACTTAAATCAAACTCAATCAAGGTTTAGAAGTTGTTCGTGCACTACGGATAAGGTATATGAGTACACAGGGAGTGGTCTAACTCTAGTGATACCGTTCAAAACTACTAGCAGATATGGTAAATTGTCTTAATCTTTCTTGAATGTCGTGGAGGATAACTAGATTTTTTAGGACATCTTAACGGTATATATCTTAGTTTTATGGAGATAATTTGGTTCTTGGATAACTAGGTTTCAGTTCTTTGATCGACTTACACATTCTTTGGTATTTGGTCTACTATAAACATCATGACCTTGGTCGTTCACAATCACACTAGTTCTAGTGCTCTACTCTTATCTTAATTTATCTATGCATGCTCATACATGGATATAAGTCATTCTATCAGTTCAATCTTAATTCTTAAACTCGTATGAGAGTCTCTCGTGTAGCATAAATCTTATATAGCTTAAAATTCTAAATTCTCTTTCTAGGGACAATTCAGTCATTCGGTCATTTGTAGAAACATATATATCAGCCTCATAATTCAACTCATTCAAATGTCCTAATCATGGATTCTCTACCTACATAAAATAGTTCAAACTTGGATGATATCATATCTTAGCCATCTCTATCGGTACTACTTGAACAAAATCCTTATGGTTACTTACCTTTTCGTACGTGCCTAAGAAGACCCTATTCCTACTCGTTCGATACCCCAAATTTTTAGAAAATTCCTCAAAACTAGTCCTAAATCAAGTCACAGTTGGATTATTATCAAAATTGGATTGAAAAAGAGGTCGAAGGGGAGGAAAAACCACTTACCATGTGCCTCATGTGTGCATTTACTCGGCCTACCCACATGCAGGTCTCTAGTGCAGTCGCGCCTCACTTTGTGGTTCGCAAATCAGATAACTCAATTTTCTTTCTTTTATTTTCTCAGTTGTAGTCGTATACCCGCTGATATGTCTTTACCCTGTCAATTAACCTCAATGTGATGCATCACCTCTTTCTTTTGAATTTAACGTAGAGATAATAAGGAGTTGAAATATTTGTTTGAGTTGCGAAAAATGAAAACGTTATCATTAAACAAATTTGTACCATTGTTAGAACGTCAGATAAATAAATCTTTTAATATATATCATTAAAACAAGAACCTGATAGTGATCATAACTCTATTTAAGGTTCTTAATTAAGTAATGTTGAAGTTATTTGTAAAAGTATAAGGACACAAATAACACTTAATAATTCATCGTTATATATACATTACTACAAAGTTGGTGTAATTATCTTCAATTTGTTCAAAACATTTCATGGGCTTGCTTTGTATTTTTGCATTAGTGATGGTTCAAGCATGCTTTGGTTTGCCGGTTGAGCAATGGAGAGTGCATGTAATCAACGACATGAAAAGTCATCAAACTCTTTTGCATGTCTCTTTTTAAGTGATCCTTTATATTTTCGGATAAAACTCTTTTATAATGTTCCAAAAAACGCCAAATGTCGTGACTAGCTTTAAATCTTTTTTCACTACACGTATGACACAGCCCCTGAATGTGTCATGTGTGTGATAATTTTTTATATGTGATATTCTGTTATATTATGCTATAAGATATGCCAAATAATATTATGGTATAAACGAAATGTCATGTTATGTAACAAGAAGCTATGTCATGTTATGACATACCTTGATATGTTATGTTATGCTAGGATATTCTATGACATGTTATGATATGTTTTGAAAAAAAGAAATTTATGATGTACGACTTCCCTATGTCATGTCTTGGAAGCTATGTTATGTATGAGATGACGTATAAGAATTATGCATGCATAATCACCCGATTTAATATGTTATGAAAGAATGGAGATTGTCTTGCATCATTATAATGTCATGATGGAAAGTACGAGAACCTAATGCACAACTCTGTGTTCATATGCATAAGGATACTTTTCTATTATGATGAGTCCAAATGCGTACACTATGAGATAGATTATGACCATCATGTTCGCCATGATGATACAACGATCGCTATTCCCTTTGGGTGTTCTAAAATAGCCTCTCAGTGAGTACTAGCCCGGCCAGCAGGCCCAGCGGGTGTGCAAGCCCGCCTGGTAGGTCCACGTTCGCACGTGTGGGCTGTGTGTAGAGAAGTATTGCACATCCAATTTAACTCAGGCTAGAAATCTACCTAAGAGAATGAAATAATGTTTTAAATGATAGAACTCACTATGTTGGATGTGTTTGCATTTCACGACCCCAATAATGGAGTCACTTACTGAGTATTTCTTAAAATTTTCAAGTCATGTGCTGGAGGATATTTTATGTGCATGACATGATATGATACAATGTATGACAAGAATGACGCACAGTAAATATGTTTTAACACGGTATACAACCCCGATATATGTTTTAAAGGTTGTGCAATACAAAACGATACAATATGAAAGAAAATGTGAGAGGTTGTTATTACGTGGTTTGATAAATGAAAAAGCTTTGGACCTCATATATCACTGTATGTTACATGCATCGGAAAATTTTTCCGTTTACGATGGGTATAGATGCGTACATTACGAAAAGGAAAATGATTATTATGTTTATCATAATACTACTGTAATGCCCCGTTAGGTTTAATATATCTATATATATATATATATATATATATAACAAAATAAAGAGGAAAAAATAATAATAATAACTGACCACCTCTCTTTTAATCTCTGCCCCTTCCCTAAAATACTTCTCACATTAGTATCAATAATTTTCCAAACAAAATAGAAAACATAAGCAAAAAGAAAATTTTTTCTAAGTAGAAGCAAATATTTTCTGGAAGGAAGGAAAGATGGTTAGGGGATAACGAAAGAGAGATGTCATTTGAAAAGATTAGTAAGATATTAAGGGATCGTACCAAAAGAGTCCATTAAAATTGGTAGAATACTCTCGCGCGAAAATTTAAATGTATAGATAGATAAAAAAGAGAGGAAGATTTAAAAAATAGATTCAAATGAAAAAAAAAATATATATATATAGATAATAGAGAGAAAAAGATTTGGAAAGAATAATTTATCTGTCATATTAAATGTTAACCGAACAAAAAAAAGATAAGAAAAAGGAAAGATTTGGAAAGAGAATTAATTAGAATAAAAATACAAAGAAAAGATTAAAAAGAGACCAATATTATTAACAAAATCAAAAGAAAAGAAAGAAAAGAGGAATACTAAAAGAAAGAAAAAATAGGGAGAGC